TTCCCCCCGGCCCCACCACCCATAAAAATACCCTATTTTTTTAAAAAAAACCAAGGTCTTTCAACTAAATCAAAAAGCGTTTCAAAATATGTTAACTGACAAAAACCCCGGGGGGGGGGGGGTTCCAACCACCCCCCTTGTTCCACAATGGGGGTACGAATTTGCTTCTACGTCCGAGGGTTAATCAGAAATCTAGTACCTGGACAACTCCGAAATCCATACGGTGGAATCCAGTATCCATGAGATAATGGCTCGCTTGGCGTACTTTTCAAAACTGGAGGAAGGATGAAAACGTTTAAAGAATAAAAGAGAACCTTGGGCGCTACAGAGAACATCAAAATAGTAACACAAAATGTTATAACCTATACAATCTTTTTTATTTGCATTTCTATTTGTATCTTGGAACTTTATTTTTTTATTTACGGACTTTTTGTTTCACTACATCCTCCAAATTATCCGTTACCACAGCTCCTGCTGCCGATCCTCCTCTAATTCCCGTTTGCAATCCAACTCACGAGCGGCTGCACAAATGTTGCGCCGGTAGTTCAGCCTCGTCTCCTGAAAAAAAGAAAAAAATTATTTCTGTACTTGAGGGAAACCATTTTAAATACATGTAAGCACCCTGTGTTAGAAAAATACTAGCCTCGGAAAGTCATGAACTTTTCATACCATATTTTGTGTAATAATTAAACCAGTCTTCGTGAGAAGTGAGCTTTATTTTAATAAAGCTCGCCTCTCACGAAGCGAGTGATGGTTCCGTTGATGTCTGTTTAATCATCGTGAAAGGTTTCTCTGTAGTTTAAAGACGACCACATTTTCTTTTGGTTGATGACAAACACCGATTAAGCAAAAAACGTGACAATGAACACTAAAAGGCGCAACCAGCTAGAAAGTTGGTTTAGCCTCCTTCCCGTTGGAATTGTTGTTATCATAACAATTATGACAATAAAAAAATGGTCATTACCTTCCTATTTTTTCCTTTCATAACGGACGATCCCCCGATACAATCAGTCTCTTTTACCAGCAGTGAAAACAAGTGCGCCAAACAAAGAAGAATCAATACTGTAGATTTCATTCTCGTCGTTATGGCCGGTGGTTTTAAGGGAGGTACAGAGTACAATATATAGATCGAGCTGCTTTAACACACGTTTTCTTCTAAAAACCGGTCAGCTACCTATGCCATGCACCTGGAATGCCATAAAGGCAACACTTAAAAAAAAAAAAATTATACTCCCTTGAAACGTCAACGTTAATTGTCTTTTACAAAGGCACCGGCCTTTGCAAATGGTTTTTTAATTGCTACAACGGTAACCTTGCTGTAGTTGGATTAATGAGACAGCATTTGTCAAATCAGGCGTAGAACGAGTAATGATCTGAAAATGTTCAGTGACAGCTTCATTACGATTAATACAGCGGTCAATGTTTATTTATCAATGCTATACGTAGCAATAATGTCTTTTTTTTTTTCTTTGTTGTTTTTGTTGTTTTCTTTTCTTTGTAATTTTGGTTTGTCAGGTCCTTCAGGTCTTCCATATCTTATAATTATGGTTCCATATTTTCTATCCCATATCACTTCATCTTTTACTATGTTTGCATGCATATCAACATGGGGTGCGCAATTAACACAGTTTACTTCTAAAAAGCCTTTTGGTCTTTTTTTCTTAAAAATAAGTATTAACTAGATTCAACGCAGTTGGGAACCAGGTTGTATGTTGTGGTTCAATTTTATCCTTGGTATAAATTTCATTTTCCTTTGTTTCAAACTCATTATCATTCATCATGTTCATTACCATACCTAAAAACAAAGGAAAACAAAATTTAAACCAAGGATAAAATTGAACCACAAAATATACACAAATAGGCAGTAATGGAGCCTGTAAACCAACTAATACAGATATATCTACCTGTTTTTGTTTTTTTTTAAACCTTAGTCCCTGGCGCTTGAAGAGCAAAATTTTATTTTGTCCATAACGACAACTAAATGATATTCGTGACGTATAAACAGTTCAAAGAAGCTGCTAAGATAAGAGGCGTCTCCAGGTTCAGTGTTTGGAAAAACGATGCCGACTGCCCCGAGATCCTACCAGAATTCCCTGGGAAAAACAAAATTACTTAGTTTAGTGCTATGTTTCGTACTGATGACTCTGGTGGTAAAAAATGGCCGTTACCTTTGACCTATGCACAGTGCAGTAGCTTACGTCTTAACCTTTTGCCTTAGCTTTTTTTTTTCTTGCGCGGTGCACATTTGGAAATATTAATCCACATCCAAGCAAATTCCTCACCAGGAAAATTAACGTACAGCTAGGAAAAACAAGAAGTAAACGGCACAGACGAAAGCAACGTAAAACAGAGAGATTTTCTAAAACAGATCAAATTTTTGTCGAGTTCTGCTTAAGGTGTTTCGATACAGTTTCTCGGAGACCAGACCGATCTTTTTCAATCGCGTTTAAAGTGATTTTATCCTTGTCCGATGGCCACAAAATTTTCACCTATGAATTGAAGTTTGTCAAAACACAGTTTTTAGTAAAATCGACATCACTATGACAACAATAAACACTGAAAACCAATAAAATCGATTAAATCCGAATGTCGGCGATCTAGTCCTGCTACTGAAAATCAGACACCAGGAGCTTAAAGTGTGGTGTTTAGAATATAACCTCCGTGAGAAGGAAAAAGTTCTGCATGTTTGAATTTAAATAAAACCTAAACATATTTGAATTTTTTTATTGTCAATAGCCGTGATAAATTGCTTAATAAAAAAGTTCTAAATAACTCCAATTTTATCAAAAGGAACTATAAGTAGCGTCAGAAGGCTGCGTAATATCATATTTCGATGCGTGGAAATTTTGGTTTATTTCCTTTCTTGCGATCCTGAAAACTAACCTGTTTTCTTACCACCTGTCTAAGTGCAACTTTATTCTGAATTTTAACCTTTAGCGCTTTTCTGTATATCTCTAAAACGGCTTGACAGAATTCTTTTTAATAAATCCTCATCACACAATCTCCATGATGTATATACATGTTGAAAAAACGTTGTCGCTAAAAAGTATAAACCATGAACGATGAGGTTTCAAGGATTTATGGGTATACGTTCATTAGCAAAGCAAATTCAAAGTTCTTTCGACAAAAGTTTACATTGTCACGAGATGCTCGTGAGGAAGTAAATCCCTAGAGTACTTTGTTTAAGGCATGCGCGCTGTTGTCTTTTTTTGTCTTCCAAGAACGCTTTTAGGTCCTATATTATGATTTTCAAGTGTACGTTAGCGATATGGCTACGCTCTTTAACTGTACAAATCTCTTATGTGTCCAGCACTGGTGAAGTTGAGAGCCGTAAATACTGGAAACCGTTCTGCGTTTTTTTGAATACATCGTCGCGAAAAGCTTCGTAAATGTAAACATTTTTGAGAAGAACTATAAATTTGCAATGCTTATAAAGTTGTACCCATAAATCCATTGGGTCCCATCGTTCATGGTTTATGCTTTTCAAGCGACAACGTTTTTTCAATCAGGTGTGTATTAATGTCTGAAACATTCATTGAGTTTGATTCATTTCAACACCTTTAAATTTCAAGACGAATCTAGCCTACGGACCGACCAAAACTCCGGGTTTCAACATTTACTGTTTTGACGTAATGCTAATTTTTCCTAATTAATGCTCACCCTATATACCTCTAAGGCTAGTACGTTTATGTTTGACTTTAATTGCATATTTTGAATGTAAAACTTTGTCAATGCTCACAATGAAATGTACGAGCCATGGAGGTATGTATGGTGGGCATTAATTTGGAAAAGTTAGCATAGCGTCAAAACAGTGAATGTTGTAACTGTGAGATTTGGTCGGTCCGTAGGCTAGATTCTTCTCGAAATTTCAAGGTGTTGCAGAGAATCAATCTTAATGAAAGTTTCAGACATTGTTATAAACATCATGAAGATTATGTGATAAGGTCTAAAAAGAATTCTGTCGAGCCGTTTAAGACTGAGACAATAGAAAAGCGCTAGAAGTCAAAATTTAGAATAAGGTTGCACTTAGAAAGGAGATAAGAAAACAGGTCAGTTTTCAGGATCGCAAGAAAGGAAATAAACCAAAATTACTATGCATCGAAATATGACATTAAGCAGCCTTCTGACCCTACTTATGATTAATTTGAGTTATTTAGAACTTTTATTAAAAAAATAGAAAATTATCACTGCTATTGAAAATATAAGGTTTGAAATATATTAACGTTTCATATGAATTTAAACAAACAGAATTTTAATTTTTACTTGTCACGGAGGTCATTTGTTAAATACCAAATCTGTAAGTTCCTGGTGTCGGATTTTCAGTAGCAGGTCTAGATCGCGCGAAATTTTGATTGAATCGATTTTAAAGGTTTTTGTTTATTGTTGTCATAGTGATATCTTTTTTTTTTCTAAAAAACTGCATTTTGACAAACTTCAGTTCATAGTCAATCACTGGTGAAAATTTTGTGGCGATCGGACAAGGATAAAAACACTTTTAAGGCGATTGAAAAACATCGGTAAGGTCTGCGAAAAACTGTATCGGAACACCTTAACAAACGTACAGATTTCATGCTATCAACTGCATATAGCTGCTTCTGTTCGTTGACCATTAATAACCTGCATCAAGAGAGAATAATTATTGCGGTACAGAGAGGGAAACGCCCAGTCTAGCCCTTGGGGTCATGTGAGTTTCACCAAAGTTCTTTTTAGACCAATTAAACCCGTGAAACTAACCGGAAGTTTGTTCCCGAAGAGGTTGAAACTTTTACTCAGTATTACATGTTGACTGGAGAGAATTCAACAGCCGCAGGAGCCGAGTAATAGGCTCCTGATCTGACAGCCGTCGTCAAAATATTCTGCATTGTTCGGTTTGCTTTGAGGCAGTCGCGCGTGGACTTGATGACGTATTCACCAATCGATTAAAATGTGCGCACGTCTCAGGAATGAGACCTCTAAGACCGTTTACCTCTGAAAGTTACTTTAGTGATATTTACTTATTCAGGCAGACGCCCTAAGATTCCCTCTGAGTCCCATTATTCTCTCTAGGCTGCGTTCATCTCAAAAAAGACCTTTGAAACTTTTAGTATTTTACTCTCCCAACTTGCGTTTAGTAAATAGCAGTTTGTTTATTCATCAAACACGGTTTGACGATCTATGGTAAAAGTTGGTCGCTATGGTTACGAGATACTAACGACGTTGATAGTCATAAAGACTCGTTTTCTTTAAACCTCTAGCATGTAAATTACATGCCTTCGCTCTGTTTTTTTTTTTCCTTTCTTAGCATAAACTTGAATTTCTGGGAGGGGGTGGTTGGGTAGTGTGTGGTAGACCTGGTGCTTGAAAGATTGAGAAATCAAAAGCAAACACTTTAATCAAGTAAACTAATATCAGCAACTGTCTTTATCTGTGTTATTGATTATCCTCCCTTAAAACAATCCGTTACTACTGCATTTTTTTCTCAAACGTGCAGGAGCGTGTCTTGTGTATTTTACATTTACTTGGCTAAACTTCTATAGTAAATGAGTTAGTAACAGCAGGTCAAACACTCAAGTTCTTATTTTGCTCTGTAGGATGGTCAATAAAATTGGCTTAAAAAATTGGTTCGCAAAAAATTAAAGTCATCTGAAAAGGATGATTAAGGTATCAAAGCGTCGCCCATGACTCTGTTGCGTGACACTCCATCAACACGACTCACCTACTCAGAACTGTTTTCAAAGTATAACGCACCCGGAATTAGTGAGAAGATGACAAGGTCAACCTTTCACCATTCAACTTCTTTAATGTATATTTTTAAATAATGGTGACAAACAGAAGCGAGTACAACGCTATAAATGGCTTTCAAAGGCAAAAAGATGTTATTTGTAATAGAAATATGGTCTACTAAGCTGATCTTTCTTAAATCGATAGAAGCAAATACAGAATGAAGAGCACTGTTAACACTGAATATCTACACATTTGATTATCTTAGAATGAAAAGCTTTTCCTTTAAAAAAAAATAAAACTGAATTGAAAGCTTAGGGCAAAACAATAAAAACGAACCTGTAGTAAACACAAAATTGCGAATGTTTCTTCTTT